TATTTACACCCAAAATCTATATATGTACATCTCCCATACACAGAAACCATTCATTTTTGTCTTCTTTTTCTCAATTCCCCATAATGAAAAGACTTGTAGAACACAACCACATCCTACCCCCTCCCTCATTAATCTCTCTCTCTCTCTCTCTATATATATATATATGTATATATATATATATATATTATCTTATAAAACAAATTTAACAAAAGTAAGTCTTAAAAATACTAAATGATCAAGATACTTTTTATATCACTTTTTCATCAACTCCTCTCTTCACATACACTCACCCTCTCACAACCAATTTTTTTAAACTTATAATTTTAAATTTACACTTTATACCCCTATAACTGTAATTGGAACCATAACTCTTATTTATTCAAATTGTATTAATATGTAAAGACCAAGTGTAACTATATCATTGTTAAATCTTATCTTATAAAACCAGTGGAACTTCAAAATCGTTAAAATTCATGGTTTCCGTCGCATTGCGCGGGTACACAACTAATATATATATATACACACACTGTTAGAAATTGATAGAGCAAGAAAGTATTTGGTGCTAAAAATTGGCAGTGCTTTATTCAAAGACTAAGGGACTTTTTATAGGCTTCACAGAGAACAACTAACTTGGTTATAAACTAGGAAATAAATCTGCAACTAAGACTAGAAAGCAACAAAAATAAAAATAAAAATAAAAGACTAAATCTTCTTTTACTTCAGCAGCAAACTTTGAATCATTAAACTCTCAATACTCCCCCTTGATTCAAAGTTGACAACTCCTAACTGATCACGGAGTTCTTCAAATTTTCCTTTTGGAAGTGACTTAGTGAACACATCAGCCACCTGTTGATCAGTTCTGCAGAATTCCAGCTTAATTTCTTCATTGATCACCAAATCTCTGATGAAATGATGTTTGATTTCGATATGTTTTGTTCTTCCATGGAGCACAGGATTCTTGGTCATGGCTGCTGCTGAGATGTTATCACATAAGATCAGAGTTGCCTTCTTTTGTTCTTGATCCAAGTCTCCTAATAGCCTTCTTAACCACACTGCTTGACAAGCAGCTGTTGTTGCAGCAACATACTCGGCTTCTGTAGAAGATAAGGCAACCGTGGTCTGCTTCTTTGACACCCAAGTTACTGCTCTAGATCCAAAATTGAAGAGGTTTCCTGTAGTACTTTTTATGTCTTCATGAGAGCCTGCCCAATCACTGTCAGAGTAGCCCATTAGTTCAAACTTCTCTTGTTTTGAATACCATATTCCATAAGAAATTGTTCCAGCAACATAGGATCCTTTATGTTGTTCCAAAGTGATGAACGCTTGGACAGTGCATGAACCTTGAAATCAGGCTGACAGCATAGGCTAGATCGGGTCTTGAATGTGTAAGATAGATGAGACGTCCAATTAGGCTTCTGAACTTTCTTGCATCTGCCATTTCTGTTCCATCTTCAGTAACAAGTTTCTTATTCACATTCATTGGTGTTGCAATAGTTTTGCAACCTGCCATGCCAAATTGTTTCAAGATATCCACAGCATATTTCTGTTGAGAGAGAAATATGCCATTCTTGGTTTGCTTGACCTCAAGTCCTAGGAAGTAACTCAATTCTCCCAGATCCGTCATCTCGAATTTGTTCTTCATAGCATTCTTGAATTCTAAAATAAGTTGTGCAGATGAACCAACATAAATCATATCATCTACATAAAGACTTCCTAGGATGATGTCTTTATCTCCTTACTTCTTCACATATAAGGTTGGTTCGTTGAGACTTCTCTTGAATCCGTGTTCATGAAAGAACTCGTCTATTTTGTTGTACCAAGCTCGAGGGGCTTGTTTCAACCCATACAACGCCTACTCGAGTTTGTACACTTTATTTTCTTCCCCTGAAACTTCATAACATTCTGGTTGTTGCACATACACATCTTCCTTGAGCTCTCCATTTAGAAAAGCATATTTTACATCGAACTGATGAACCGTCCATTCCATTTGAGCTGCAAGTGCGAGAATGATTCTCACTATCTCGAATCTCGCCACTGGAGCAAAGGTCTCTTCGAAGTCTACTCCGTATTCTTGTGCATATCCTCGTGCTACTAACCTTGCTTTGTGCTTTTGAATTGTTCCATCTGCATGATACTTGGTCTTAAAAATCCATTAAGACTGATTGCCTTCTTTCCTGCAGGTACATCAACAAGCTTCAAAGTTCCATTCTTCTCAATTGCTTGAATTTCATCATTCATGGCTTTCTTCCACACTTCGGCTTTCATTGCTTCTCTTGGTGTTACTGGATCTCCAGCAAACAATGCAAAGTCACAATTTTTTCCTTCAATATCAAATGAGCGTTTTGGTATTCTGCCACGCTCACTTCTTCTTAGACTAACTTCTTCTTCACTTGTGTCATGTGGCGATGACTTTGAACTGTTACTTGGTGTTGTGTCTTGAGGGCTGTCTGAACTATTGCCTTGGGAGTTGTCTGATACTTCTTCTTGCATGCTTTCTTCTTGAACTTCATCTTGCATTACATCCATGCTTGAGCTAAATTGACTTGAACTTGTATCCCATCCTTCCTGTTCATTAAACTTCACATCTCTACCAACAACAATAGACTTTTTATCTGGATCAAAAAGTCTATATGCCTTGGAATTTGTACAGTACCCTATAAATACATATTTCTTTGCTTTTTGATCTAACTTGTGTCTACCGGATGGTATCAAGGCATAACATACGCATCCGAATATACGCAAATGATCGACATAAGGTTTGGATTCATACCAGGCTTCATATGGTGTGACATTCCACACTGCTTTTGTGGGTGATATATTGATCAAGTACACTGCTGTTGCCACTGCTTCTGCCCAAAATTCGTCTTTCATTTTCCTGAACTTAAGCATTGATCTGGCCATTTCAACTATGGTTTGGTTCTTCCGCTCGGCTATACCGTTCTGTTCAGGGGTATAAGGTGCTGTCAATTCTCTCTTGATTCCTTCTTCATCACATAAGTTGATGAATTCTTTAGAAAGAAATTCACCACCTCTATCTATCCTCAGAGTTTTCAGTTTCCCATTACATTGTTTCTCTGTCAAAGCCTTGAATTTCTTGAACCATTCGAAAGCTTCCGACTTGTAGGTGAGAAAGTAAACCCAACTCATTCTTGAATAGTCATCTATGAAAAGTAAAAAGTATCTGCTTCCTCCGTGAGACTCGGTCTTCATCGGACCACATATGTCGGCATGTACCAGTTCAAGCCTCTCTTGAGCTCTTTTTGCTTGTCCCACATGAAATGTTCTTCGTGTTTGCTTACCAAAAGCACAACCTTCACACACACGAGTAAGATCCTTGATGTTTGGTAAGCCTTTTACCATCTCTTTATTTGCAAGTAGTTGCAAGCCTTTTACATACAGATGCCCATAACGTTGATGCCATGTATCTGTGTTCACGCAGTTGCTGCTCATCATTCCATAGAATTCTGCACAACAGAAATCCATAGGAAACATTTTGTTTTCTGTCATAGTGACTTGGAACAATACTTCACCAGTTTTTTCTTTAATAGTGCATGCATTTTCTTTAAAATTAACAATCAAACCAGAATCCATAAGTTGGCCTACACTTAGTAGATTATGAGCAAAACCTGGTGCATAGCGCACGTTTCGAATAAGTCTTTCCTTTCCGTGAAGATTGACAGCTACAGTCCCTTTTCCTTCAATTTGAACTTGCTTGTCATCTCTTAATCGAACCAGTGACTTCTGTGTTTCATCCAGGTCTTTAAACTTCTCTTTATTTCTTGTGAGATGATTTGAACAAGCACTGTCAATGTACCAGACATCTTTTGAGACAGATTGATGATTTTCATATGTCATGAACAAGTAGTCTTCTTCTTCTTCTTCTTCTTCTTCTTCTTCTTCTTCTTCTTCTTCTTCTTCTTCTTCTTCTTCTTCTTCTGCATATTGAGCTTGTTTCTCTTTACTCCAGCAATCTTCTTCCTTATTCCCAAATTTCTTGCAATACGTGCATTGGACAGAAATCATTCGTTCACGTCCTCTTCCTCTAAATCCACCTCTTCCTCTAAATCCACCTCTTCCTCTGCCACGGTTTCCTGGGGACTTAAATGACTCCCCCTGAGTTTGAAATGCATGTTCCTCTTCTTTGGATGGATTTCTGTTGATTCTTGCTTCATGGGCTTGTAGGGACCCCATGAGTTCATCAACAGTTAAAGTAGAAGGATCCCTAGACTCCTCTATCGCTGCAACGACATGATCGAACTTGGGAGACAAACTCCTTAAAATTTTAGCAACAACGGTTTCATCAGTTATTTTATCACCATAAGTTCTCCTTTGACCCACAATAGATGAAACCTTTGCTAAATAATCTTGAACAGATTCATTGCTTTTCATAACTGCTGTTTCAAAATCTCTTCTCAAGGACTAAAGTTTAACAAGGATTACCTTAGTTGAACCTTGATACTCGGTCTTGAGAGTGTTCCAAGCTGATTTGGCTGAGTCGGCTGCTGCAATTCTTGATAATATTGTTTCATCAACAGCTTGTTGAATGAAGAAACAGGGCCTTGGCATCTTTCTTTAAGATCTCCTTGTTTGCTGCTTCTTCTGATCCTTCAGTTATGCCCTTATCAACTAAATCCCACAGATCTTGGGATTTAAACAGCGTTTTCATTTTGATACTCCAAAATTCGTAGGATTCACCTTTGAAAACTGGAATCTGAGGTTGGGATGCATTAACAGTAGAGCTTCCTGAGGCCATGGGTTTCTATTAAATTTCTTGCTGCAAAAAGGAATTAACAATCGAAGCCTAGGTTGCAACCTGGCTCTGATACCACAAATGTTAGAAATTGATAGAGCAAGAAAGTATTTGGTGCTAAAAATTGGCAGTGCTTTATTCAAAGACTAAGGGHCTTTTTATAGGCTTCACAGAGAACAACTAACTTGGYTATAAACTAGGAAATAAATCTGCAACTAAGACTAGAAAGCAACAAAAATAAAAATAAAAATAAAAGACTAAATCTTCCTTTACTTCAGCAGCAAACTTTGAATCATTCAACTCTCAATACACACATATATATAATCTCCAAAACCCGGTATTTACATATCATGCAATCATATATATCTCTATAATCATGTGTTTGCACATAGCTAGAGATATTATGTTCATCCTCTACATACATATATGAGTAGAAACAAAAGTTGCAATGAGTAGAAAAACATGCATAAATTACCACTCTTAGCACACATTAGATTCACCAGAAATAACCCTTTTAGCATTTTCTGGCGAACATAACATATATAGTTTAAGAAACTCGATTCATCCTCTTCCATTATCGGTATCATCATCACCAGCATCTCCTCCATTCCCACCACCTTGCGAATTGAAATTCTGTCTTGGAATATTGTGGTGGTTGTCTATGTAGCTATCTGGATAATTAACATGAACCATCTCTCTCTGTGCTCTTCCTTGAAGCACTAGGCAAGAACACAGCAACATGGTTATGAAAATAAGCGCCATCGGCTTCATTTTTCTGTGTCTTGGTACCTGCTGCAATGATCAAACACAAATGTTAGTGATATGATAGCTCTGATTCATGAAATGGAATTGTGTACCATGATCATTAGGAAGTAGTATATATGTATACCTTGTGATCCTATATGTATATGTAAGAATATATGAGAGTGTAGCTGGAGATCAGTGGTATTTATAAGCTCAGATATGAGATATTGTGGTGGCTTTTACAAGATGGTGGTAAAACCTTTAATTATATATGTTTCATTGTCTATAAAAAAGAAGGTGCAATAAGTCAGTGGTCCATCGTTATTACAATCTTGGTGTTTTCTTTTGAGAATAACAAATAAAACACTACTTTTTTGTCGTTCAATTAATAGTGTTTTTAAAACAGATTTTTCTACTGCATGCATGCATTTTATATCTCAAGATCTGCAATTTAGGTTACTGCTTATACGCGTTTTTCTCTTTTTCGATGTTCGAACGAAACAATCATGACTTGGACGTGTCTAACCGACGATTCAACAACACCCCCATCAGTTTGGTACAAATGTGTTGCCTCGAGAGTTTATTTTGGAAAATTAAGTTCCGTTTAAGTAATTATCGAATTGATTTATTGAGGAATGCATATATATATATATATATATATATATATATATATGTGTGTGTGTGTATGTATGTATGTATAGCAAAAGAGGATTAAAGGCAAAATAAATTTGAAAGGTGGATGATTGTTTGTCCATATTAACAAAGCATGATAGTAGTAAATAGGGAAAATCCACTTTGTAAGTGGGATGAAGACTCACAAAGTCAATGAAGCATTATGGTTTTACTGTTTATGTTGCTTCATGATATCAAGCATTAATGTGATTAACCTCTTTCTTTGTGTCACTCTTTAAGGAGATGATTATTAGGTACTGTTTTTGTAGAATTTAATGGTGATTGAAATACAAACTTGTATGATACCAACAAGTACTTGATTTATGATGTTTTTGTCAAACGAGTGCATCTTTAAGGTGGATCAAAGCCTGCAAAGTCGTTCCATGTGTTTTTAGTCAAATTTCTCTATGCTAACATACTGGTTTCGATTCCTTGTGTCCATTTCGGTAAGGTACTTTTTCTAATTATGTCAGAGTCTTTCATAGTAGTTGGTTTTGAGAGGATGCGAGGAGATGGGAGCTGTATTTGGGTTTTATATTTATAAACTTTTCAAATACCAATTAATCGAGGGTTTATGGTAACACCAAACAATCCCCTGCTAATGGTGAAAACCAAATTCAACAAGAAACCTCAATCAATACCCTCGATCGGCCCATTAATTGCAAAAACCAAATCCAAACAAAGAAACATGTAAGTACCGTATTGAATTTTGTGAACTTTAGACTCCACCAAAATCCATGGCGTCGACTAATTGATTCTAGATTCTGAGTTTCGTCCATGTACCAGGCAGTTAAAGATGTTTGTGAACGAGAAGAATAGGAAAGGGGTTTGTTTAGGGGTTGGGGGACTTCAATATAGAGAAAATGGAGGGAGGGGACGAAGAGAGAAAGAGGTCGTCGAAGGAGAAGGGGAGGCTTGCCGGAGAAATGGGTCGTCAGAGGGGAAGTGGTGGGAGGGATGCCACTCCAAGGAGAGAAGAGACAAGTACCCTCTTATATCCGAGTTAACTGATTTTTGTTATTTCTCAATGAGTACGAAAATGTCAACCACGAGTCTCATGTTTGTATTTATTTTGATTTTGGGACTATTGTTGGTAGAAAGTGTAAATACAAGGATCAAATTCATAATTACCCCATTTAATTAATAAAGAAAAATTAAAAGTGTTAAATACAAAAGATAACACCAGACCTTGAAGGCTTGTACCGGACTTGGGTCTATTTGTCCATAAACGTGTCACCCATTTTTGTATTTGATAAATTAGTCCAAAATTTAATCATATTTCATAAAATTTAACTGCAAATATAATTTAAAAAATGGTAATATTAATTCGTACAAATAATCTTTAACTATCGTTTAAAGAACTTTGTAAATTAACATTTGGTTTTTTTTTTTTTTGAAAAANCAACTTTTAAAATCGTCATTTTGGGGAACCAACTTGCACCTGATTCCTATTTTGGGGAACCAACTTTCAAAATCGTCATTTTGAGGAACCAACTTTTAAAATCGTCATTTTGGGGAACCAACTTGCACCTGATTCCTATTTTGGGGAACCATCTTTAATAAATATTTACATCAAAATTATATGTTTATTAACAGAATATGTGATCTTTAACTTTTAATATTATACGATCTATATAGAGAAAAACAATCCATATAATAACAGTTACTAATATAAGGGACAAATCATTATGTGATTATCCACGACTTTGGTCACAACATAGGGTTGCGGGTCAAGTCGACATTACGTCAATGCGTTGATCATGTTATGTAATTGTATGTAATTTCAGTGCAAAACCACATCTAGTTAGGGTGTTATAGTTCTCTTTTTTTACCATGTTCTCATTTGATTTATATATATATATATATACTAGGTTCGACCCCGTGTATTACACGGGGTATTTTAAATGAGAAAAACTTTGGGCATTAACTCTGAAACACAAGAATTCAGAGTTATATTACTAGGCTGGAAAATAACTTTGGACTTAACTCTGAATAAGAGGAATTCAGAGTTGTCTTCTAAGTCTAGAAAGTATCTACGAGCATAACTCTGAATCACAAGAATTCTGAGTTCTTATAACTCGGAAACGTAACTCTGAACTTCAACTCTGAAGAGGAGTTCGGAGTTGTATTCTAAGTCTGGGAATAAACAATATAACTAAGTCTGGAACAGAACAGTTCACAGTTATGTTGTAAGTCTGAGAAATAACCAATATATGATGACTTCATGTTGGCGATTTGTATCACTAATGTTATTTAAGTGTAATGTGATTAAATTGTTGATCAATGTAATCATGATAAATATCGAACATGTAAGAAAGATGCCGAGTGCACACTTATTTGAGTTTATTTTGATATAGGGGCGAAGCCCCTAAACGACAGAGGTATGGGGGCAACGCCCCTGATGGCGGGGTCCAAGGGGCAGAGCCCCTGGCTGGGGTCGAGTCCCAGGTAATATTGTTTTGTGAAAAATGCTTCAAAAATCCGAATTTGAAATTTTAAACCCGGTTTTGATGATCACTCCAGAGTTAAATTCATAGTTAAATTTAGACTTACAACTCTCAATTTTCCCAGAGTTATGTTGTAAGTCTGGAGGTCACCCCAGAGTTAAATTCAGATTTAAATTCAAAGTTAAATTCAAACTTACAACTCTGAATTTTTCCAGAGTTATGTTGTAAGTCTGGATGTCACTCCAGAGTTAAATTCAGAGTTAAATTCAGATTTACAACTCTGAATTTTTCCAGAGTTATATTGTAAGTCTGGAGGCCACTTCAGAGTTAAATTCAAACTTACAACTCTGAATTTTTTCAGAATTATGTTGTAAGTCTGGAGGCCACTTCAGAGTTAAATTCAGACTTAAATTTAGTTAAACCACAAAAATAAGAAAATAAACGTGTAGAGGGACATATGTCACTTAAATAGACCTATTTGAATCGTAAGTGAAAATTGTGTCTAGATACATGTTTAGGTATATAGATATCTATACTACCTTATAAACCAGATTTATCAAAAATCTTAAAAATAATTTTTAATGCACAAAGTCTTAAAAACAACTCATAATGCATTAAGTACTACTACTTTATGCATTCAATCTTAAAATCTCTTAATCTACAATTAAAATAACATATTGTACAAGTTACCAATACAGATTATTATCTTTTCTTTTCATGTTCTCAATATACTTTTGACACTTTTCACTCATGCATTCACCCTTTCATATCTTTATGTCTTCTCCCCATCCCTCGGTGTGAGATTCAAACTGATATTCACCATGAATTATTAAAAGTTCTCTCATATCATCTCATATTCAATTGCTCTAAAACTCTCGGTCTCGATCTCTTGATTTTTTGCTCTTGGTGTAAATCGAACACATTTGTGGAGTCGTTTAAATATGTTGGATTTTAAATATATTGAATTTTAAACTATCATATTATTTTTTTCATTGATAGACTGTAATTGAAACCATAACTCTTATTTATTCAAATTGTATTAATTGTAAAAACAAAGTGTAACTTATATCATTGTTAAATATTTTCTAATAAAACCAGTGAAACTTCAAAATCGTTAAAATTCACGGCTCCCGTTGCATTGCACGGGTACACAATTAGTATATATATATATATATATATATATATTGTAAATCATCCGAAGGTTACAAACTTACAACTAATGGTATTTGAGTCTTTTTACCAAATTCGTATTTTTAGGAACTAGAAGGGTACTCGCGCAATGCAGCGAGATAAATCTCGATTTTAATGTTTTTTATATTTTGTCCCCTATCGATATTATAATACGGTTTTATGTGTTTTTGAGAAAAACGATAATGTTTTTATTTTTGAATAAAATATAAATTTGAAGATATCATAAAATTATAAAAAAATATATATCAATATTAGTATCAAATTAATTATATAAAATTCTAGTTTTGTTGTGTAATTTCTTTAATTCAAAATTTTTATTTTTATTTATTTTAGGTTTAATAACGAAGTAATTTATTTTTTATTTAATAATATAATTTTTTATAAAAATAATAATTAATTATTCTTCTAGAACACAATGATTATTCTAATTATATTTTAGATTTTTTATATTTGAAAAGAAATGTTTATCATGTATTTGATTATATTTATCTACAGTTAGTTACACGAATTCAAGCATGAGAACTTTAATAAGTTGTACTTGTGAATTATTTTTTTGTAATCTTGAGTTTTAAGAAGGGAAAATTGCACCAACTTTCACCTAATTTCTATTTTGGGGAACAACTTTTAAAATCGTCATTTTGRGGAACCAACTTGCACCTGATTCCTATTTTGGGGAACCAACTTTCAAAATCGTCATTTTGAGGAAACCAACTTGCACCTGATTCCTATTTTGGGGAACCAACTTGCAAAATAATTATAGAAAAATAACTAAAATTCGTTTTTTTCCAAAAATTAATGCAATAAAATCTATTTTTTCATTTTAAATCTCGTTTTTTTTAATTCAGATATCAAATTGAACATTTTAAAAAAAAAATCCAAATTACTACAATAAAAATTGTTTTTTACTAATGCAAAAAAAATCAATTTAACAGAAAAAAAATAATTGATACGGATTGGTTAGATATAAAAATTTGAATGTGATATTTAATATTTAGTTTTTATTGCATCAATCAATTTTTTTCTATAAAATTGATTTTTTTTTGCATTAGTAAAAAACAATTTTTATTGTGGTAATTTGGATTTTTTTTTAAATTTCCATTTGATATCTGAATTAAAAAAAACGAGATTTGAAATGAAATATAGATTTTATTGCATTAATTTTTGGAAAAAAATGAATTCTAGTTATTTTTCTATAATTATTTTGCAAGTTGGTTCCCCAAAATAGGAATCAGGTKCAAGTTGGTTYCCCAAAATGACGATTTTGAAAGTTGGTTCCCCAAAATAGRAATCARGTGCAAGTTGGTTYCCCAAAATGACGATTTTGAAAGTTGGTTCCCCAAAATAGAAATCAAGTGCAAGTTGGTTCCCCAAAATGACGATTTTGAAAGTTGGTTCCCCAAAATAGGAATCAGGTGCAAGTTGGTTCCCCAAAATGACGATTTTGAAAGTTGGTTCCCCAAAAAAATAGGAATTAGGTAAAAGTTGATTCTATTTTGGTACAATTTTCCCTTTTAAGAAATATGCATCAATAAACAGTACTTCATGTATAAAAAAATAGTTTTAAGAGTTTTTATCAAATATTTTATAATATAGTATAGATAATCAACCTCCTAAAATATCTCATATAATATCAAACAAATCAGATTTTTCTTAAAAATTATTAATTACTTAAATCTAAGGGGCTGTTTGTTTGGCTCTTAATGGTTACATTGAGAGCCAACCTCTTAATCGCTAAGAGGTCAAGGCTGTTTGGCAAAAAAAAATACTCTGAATGGTTACATTTTACCTCTTAACCATTTTGCATCTAGGGAGTCTCTAAACCATTCAGACTCTTCTTTTTCCATATTTGCCCTCTCTCCCAACATTCCTCACATCACTCTGTCGCGTCCTCCCCCTACCCTACGATCGCCCTCTCCCCCAACATTCCTCACATCGCTCTGTCGCGTCCTTCCCCCACCCTACGATCGCCGTCGCCTCGTCGCCGCCGTCGTTCTTCGCCACCGTCGTTCGTTGCCACCGTCGTTCGTTGCCTTCCATCTCCTGTCTAGGGTTTGCATCTAGTCGCCGCCGCCTCCTCTCGTCGCGTCTCTCCTGTCTAGGGTTTGCATCTAGTCGCCGCTCGTCGCCGCCGCTGCCGCTCGTCGCCGCCGCTCGTCGCCGCCTCACTTCGCCTTCCACATCCTTGCAATTCCATGCAAAGATGCTCGTCGCCGCTCCTCTCCTGTCTAGGGTTTGGTTTAGGGATTAGCATTTTTCTTTGGAAATTGATGATGTTTATTGTTAATTTCATGTTTGTAACAATGTTAATGATGATTGGATTACCTACATTTTGCAATTTCTTGAGGATTTGATACTGATATGAAGAACAGCATCTTTGCAATTTCTTGAGGATTACCGACATCTTTTTCTTTGGAAATTGATTGTATTTCTTGAGGGTTAAAATGGTAATTTGTTATCATTCAGAGAACAATTACCAAACAACCTTGTTTCATTCAGCACTTAACTATTCTGATCCTCTTAGCCATTCTAACCTCTTAACTATTCTGAACTAAATCATTCAGCAACTGCCAAACAGCCCCTAACCATTATTTTAAATCTGCTAGTTTTTTTGTTATATTATTATTATACGAATTTTCTGAGTCATCTTCATCACTTTCATGGTCGTCTTCTTCATCTCCTTTTTCAAATCTGAATCATGTTCTTTATTTTATCGTTTTCTCATATCTGATTTAAAAATGATTCATATATGAAAAAATTCACAAAAGATCTTGAAACCATGTATGAAAAAATCCATCACTTTTTCATATATGAAACCATATAAAAATTGATTCATATACTGATATACAAAAATTCATCAATTTTTCATACATGAAACCATATGAAAAATGATCCATGTATGAAAAATTTAATTCATCACTTTAAACGAAAAAATTTCACAAAAGATTTTGAAAAATATGAATAAAATTTAACCTAGAAACAAGGTTGCAATTCAACAGACCACCACCAGCGACCTCTTCATCTGCTTGATCTCCGGCCATGTTCCCCACGACCGACAAGAAAAGAGGCGATGGTTTTGAAAACCCAGAACCTCTTCACCACATCGGACCACATCCACTTCTTCCACCACCAGCGACCTCTTTATCTGCTTCATCTCTGACCATGTGCCCCACCACTGGTAAGAAAACAGGAGGTGGTTTTGAAAACTTGCCGGAGATGAAAGAGAGAGTGATGAAGATATTGGGAGAGAAAAATGTGAAGATAATTACCAAAAATAATTAAATTCTAATTATTTACTAAAATTTTATATTTAAAGTACTTAAAATCTACTATTCATTAATTTTTAATCAATTAAAATTAAAAAACTACTCAACCGTTGATTAAAAAAAAAAACAATCTAGATTGGTTTATAAAGACTATAATTTTCGATTGATTTGCAAATGATTACTCCTCTCTCTCTCTATATATATATATATAGGGAGAGGGCGGGAAGAAAGATTTTAAAATTTTGGTAGAAGATATATTATTACCTGTCCATTAGGCTTTTCCATCTGCATGGGCTTAAGGGGATGAATCCTTTGCTGGATTTCAATTATTTTCTACTTTTTTTGGTACACGTCTGAGATCTTATCCCTGTGGCTCTAATCAAACTAAATCACATCTTCTAATGGACTCAAATTTCTCTACCTCCTTATAAATATAAAATGATATTGAGACATTTCAGAGCTGACTTAACCATCTCAATCAAGTCTAAGCATATTACGTACTTGGAACTGTATCAAAACTTGAATGTCGAATCTAGAAGAAGAAAAGCCAATTCCATAAAGGGAAATGTAAGATCAAACGAAAACGATAGATGATAGATCATCTATGACCTTTTATTTCGTAAATCCCATGTTTAATTCCCTTGGGTGTTATCCGTGTTGTGCCGCACCTCATTTCTTATAGTAATAATGAAAGGTATGTAATGATAGATTCGGAGGTGGACCTAGTGCATTGAATAGGGTGGCATGGGCCATCATCTTGTTCCTTCGTGCACGTAGGGTTCAAAATTATGAGGTCGTAAAAAATGTCATTGTACATATTTTGGGGCACAAGTTTTCGTTGGCATGCAAGGCTATTCTTCCACCCCGGACTTGAGTTCAAATCTTGTTAGTCTCATTTTCTTAGTTTTTAGCTTTTAACTTCAGATTTGTTATATTTTTAAAATGTTGCAATAAAGGACTTGAACACGGGACCTCACATATAAAAAACAATGAACTAAGCAACAGCTCAAATATTATTTTGTGAAAAATATCTCTATATTTGTTTCTTATAGTCAAATGGTACCAACACTTGGAAAAAAGTCTACGCCCATCTATGGATAAATTTACAGATTCCAGTCCTGTAAATTTAAATGATAAAGTTGGGAATAACAATTATGAAGGAAGAAATTTAAAACCGAGACAACATGCAACGTGAAGGTTATGATTTTGGTGGACGCCCACTTCCCACTAACCGTATTATGGTAACTTGTATCTTATGCATTAAAAGTTAAAGTAATTCAGGTGGCGATGTGCTCAATCGTTTTCAAAGTGGTGTAAGCCACACCTTCCTGGGCTCACATCATTTAACTCTCCCCATACCCTGGCTGGATTCACTTTACAGCTTAACACATCAGCCAAATGATGCCAACTCATCTCACCATGACATGAATTGAACCAAACCACATAGCATTCATTCATGGTAGGTAAATCCATGATTTAATTCTCAATCAGACATGTTTTATATCCTAAGGTGGAACCTGAAAGGAGTCCTTAAATCATGGAATGGTTTAATCAAGGTGAAATTAAAGTAGTAATTCTAACAAGACCCACAAGTAGGGAGTGGAATAGATGAAAAGGGGCATGGCTTAAAGGTTCTCGGATGAAGTGCGATTCCGACTTTTATCTGGTGTACTTGTATGTATAGATATTGTAAAATATACATGTAATGAAAGAGATATTGTTGATTATGCCACCTTTTGAATACCCTTTTAATCATCCAATATACTTGTTCGTACAGTTTCGTATCAATCAATACATAAATATATAATAAAAACACCATCTAGTGAAGGTATCGGTGTCAGCCAATACCAGACTAACTTCATATATATATCTCTCTCTCTCGACATATATATAACTTCCTACCATCTACAAAATATCTCTCTCTCTCTCTGTATACGAAGAAGTGCATCTATAGATATATACATATATATATATATATATATATATATATAGGAAGATGATGAGAGGAAAGATTATGAAAACATGGGTGAAGACGTGTAGAAAGATGAATAATGGAGTTTTACCTTCATCTGCAGATTGTGATAAGTGCTGGCAATGGGCATTCAGATGGCCATCATCTTTCAAGCATGAAAGAAAGGAGGAAGCTTGTATTCCAAAAGATGTGCCAAAGGGTCATTTGGTGGTGTATGTGGGTGATAACCAGAGAAGGTTTGTGATCAAGGTGAAGTTACTAAAACACCCTCTATTCAGTGCATTGCTGGATGAAACTCGAGAAGAGTACGCATTCACTGCTGATTCCAGACTCCATATAACCTGTGATGAGGACATCTTTCTTGGTGTAGTCCGGTGTGCCATGACCTCCCGTGATCGAAGAACCATGTGGTGTTTTTGAGTCAATAATTGTTCCTGCACGGATTAATTGTGTAAAGAGATGACTTGTTATTGTGTCCAACTGGCTGACATATTAACTTCCATTTTCCCATGTTGCAACCTTCAATCGCGATTTTGAGATGCAAAATAATTATATGCGATCGCATGAGTTCACAAAGCCAATCGACAACACATGTTCCTTTCTGCTACAACTAAGCCAATTTCAAGATTTCAAAACAATATACTTCCATGTGATATCTTATAACTCTTTAAGTACAAATATAATAACACGGTTGACAGGAAAATAAGAAATCATGAAACTTTAGTTTTCATTTTTATCTATTTTACCTACAAAATGATATGCTCCATCCTAGAAGTCAAAGAACGAAACTGTATGCATGATTTAGAAACCACGGAAAAAGCCAAGCATACAAGTTAGTACGCTTCCACATGTAAGCCCCGTGTTCTAAATTAGTAAGTTTAGGCAGTGCTCCCAGCTGCTATTAATGCTATTCTTCACAACCACCATGGTCACTCTACCGCATCAACAGATCAACATATATTCGAATTAATTTTCAGCACCGGTCTGTGCCCATCTCCTTGCTCTTAGATTGAAATTCGAATGTATGGATGGACGGACGGATGGCGTGAGCTAGCCCTTTGTTGATGTGGTAGACGTGAACGGTAGCATTAAAGCAGCTGAGGAAAGGGGAGAAATCATATGACTGTTAGAAAACAGACGTCCATATTTCTGTTTAGTCTTTGGTAGGGATGAAATTGAGCATTTTACACGTATGAATGTTATGCACAAATTCAGCTATTTCCTCAAGGAACCCAATGATTTCAAGGCACTCCAACAAAATTAGATCAGGAACCCACCATGATTAAATCATCATCACAAAACAACTTAGGGTTTCACCAGCACCACCATCCAAACTTACTCCTATTGGTTCGTTAAATACAAAAGTTATTGGGAGAAGAAACAGGTATATGAAATAACAACAAATGAACGATACACAATTAAGAAATACTTGAGAAACAAACAGAGTCAAATGCCTAAAAAGAACTAACAAATTGGAAGGGGCACACCATTCCAGCCTTCAACACATTCCAACAATGGATCGATCAATTCCCCTTTGCATATGGCAGTAAACACCTTCTCAAACTCTTCTCCCGGTGACGTCACCTTCTCCCCTGTCAAATACTCTGTTCCCAATTCTTCCCTCACAAACCTATACAATGGGTACGACCTACACGCCTTAATCCTATTGGGAATCGCTAGGCTGCCGATATCATACGCACTTCTTACACTTTCAACCTCCTTTGGCAAAAGGGCATTTAGTTCATCTTCAAAAACACCAATCTTTTGGAAGATTGAAGTTCCTGCATCTTTCTCCTTTTCCCCATTGTTTAAAGCGTGATCGACCAGAACTTGTCGGAGTTTCTGCATCAATGGGTAGGTGCTGCTGCAAGCGTCGTCGATGTATCCAAAGACGTATTCTCTGTCAATGACTCGGAGTAAGTCCTTCTCACAGAATCTTGAAGGGTGGAGCTCGCCATTCGCACCCATGGTTAGGACTTTCTTGGCTACATGGCTCACTGTGTTCTTGACTGTGGCTTTCAAGTTCTCCTCCAAATGTCGCAAGTCGATGGCTTGGCATAGAGCCACAAGGTATGTGGATGACATGAGCTTTAAAATGTCAATGGATTCAGCAGTTTTACGGGAAGAAATCAATCCCAAAGAGTTCACATCTTGGTTGTGTTGTTCGGCACTTTGGACGTGATTCGTAACAGGATTGGCGAGAAACTGGAGTTCCGAACAATAAGAAGCCATTGCGATTTCTGCACCTTTGAACCCATAATCCAAGCTAGGGTTCCGGCCACCAGATAGATTGGAGGGCAAGCCGTTGTTGTAGAAGTCATTAACAAGCTCGGAGAATTGGGCAAACATAAGTTTCCCGATAGCAGCAATGGCCAATCGTGTGTTATCCATGGAGACCCCAATTGGGGTTCCTTGGAAGTTGCCACCGTGCAGGGCCTTGTTTCTTGAGACATCGATCAAAGGGTTATCGTTCACTGAGTTGATCTCTCTTTCAATCATCTTAGTTGATGATCGGATAACCTCAATCTGGGGGCCTAGCCATTGTGGGGACGTCCTCAGAGCGTAACGATCTTGTTTGGGTTTCTGTAATGGGTCCATTTCATGGACCATCTGTGCGGCCTTAACATAATCACTTCCATCTAATATGTATTCCATTATCGCTGCAGCCTCAATTTGGCCAGGGTGATGCTTCAATTTATGTGTCAAGTGATCTGTAAACTCCGGCTTCCCTTGCATAACCTCGGCAAAAATGGCCGACAAGACTTCCGACAACAATGCCAGCACATTGGCTTCGAAAAGGACCATGGAAGCCATACCAGATCCGACGGCGGTGCCATTCACAAGTGCTAGACCTTCTTTAGGCTGTAGGTCAAAGAAGCCACCAGAGACACCGGCGAGGCTGAAGGCCTTTTCGGCATTGAGGAKWTCTCCRTTGGGACCRACAGCTTTGGAGTTGGGACGACCGGTGAGAAGTCCGGCAATGTAGGACAAGGGAACAAGATCGCCGGAGGCTGTGATGGTTCCACGGAGAGGCAAACAAGGGGTGACGTTGGTGTTGAGGAACTTGGTGATGGCTTCCAAGATCTCGAASCGGATGCCGGAGTAACCCTGGAGGAGAGTGTTGATTCTTACAAGCATGGCTGCCCTTGTGGCTGAATGTGGAAGGGTGTGGCATGATTCTGTGCCACTGCCAAATATCCCAGCATTCAAGAATCTGCCCAGAAAAATACCCTTTTTAATTCACAGTATAAATATGGTATGATTAGATGAAAAAATAAAGTTTAAAAGGGTTGGAACCTTTTTGGAAAATTAGTATCGGAGTTGTAGGATGGAAGCTCATAAATGAAATAATGTGAGATACCTCATCTACCCATCCTTTTTCGTGGTAGGTGGCAAAATTACGTTTTTATTGTTTATCTTTTAATAGTTTCATTAAGAGATAAATTATGAATCGTCAAGTGGTGAATTTTTGTTTGGTAAAAAAAAGTTTATCTCTTAATGATTCTAAAACCATTTAAATAATTTTGTATCTTGGATCCCTTTAACCGTTAAAGACCCTGATTTTATTATAAACAATTATATTTTATTTTGTACTATATTATGAGTCTCTTAATCTACTTAACCATTTTGTACTGAACCATTCAGCAACTGTCAAACAGCTCCTTCCACTTTTTTTTTAGCTATAAAACATCGTTTCATATTATTTTATTCTCTTCTTGCTAAAATACAAAAACGTTTGTATTTTTCTTTTCTTAAATTATGCATGAACAGATGATTTATAAGGATCGCTATTTACACCCTTTTGACATCAACATCCAATCAATTTATGTATCGAAAATATCAAAAATAAGTTTTGAGGTAAAATACAAATAATGGATGCAATTAGTCTCCTGATTTTTAATAAATAAGTAATAACTGACCTGATCAGTTCAGTTTGAAGTGCACCACCTTCTTTGGTCCTGCGGTGAGAGGTGGCTCCGAATCCGGTGGTCACACCATAGCTGTCGGTGCCTTTACCCATGCTCTCCATCACCCAATCACTACTCGCCTTCACCCCAGCCCTCGCTTCCTCCGACAACTCCACCTTCACCGCCGCGTTACCACTCACAGCGATCCCGGCAACCTGTGACACCGTCAGCGTCTCCCCACCCAATCTCACAATCGGATTCCTGAACTCCGTTACCATCCGTTTCACCTCATCAAGGTGGCTCCCCCTCATCGCCTCCGCTGCCACCTCCCAATTTAACGGATCCCCCTTCACACATAACTCGGAAGCCACGCCGTTTTGGTACACACTCTCGACGGTCAAACTCCCCATTCTCAATAGTCTAAAAGAGTACGAAATCTGACGACTAAATTACCGCAAAAACACACCCAACGCTCTGTTGTTGTTTTTTTTCTCTCAGAGAGAGAGAGAGAGAGAGAGAAAGGAAGGGGGGGGTCGGGGGTTCGGAAGGATGGTTGCTGAGTGTGGGGGTATGTGCCTTATATAGAATAAATTTAGGGAAGTAAATATTTTTTTTATTTTTTATTATATTTGTTGTATATTTTTGGTAAGCAAACGCAAACGGCAAATGCATGTGCCACATCCACGGAAAAAAGTGGATTTATTAACTTAATAGCTACGTACAAGTTTGGATGCACAGGATATGTATGAACAAAAGTGGATTGGGCTGGTTTTAGTAATTACTGATCTGTAAAAGGGGGTAGCATTCGTGGACTGGTGGTAGGAAGGTGTGGTGGGTGGCTAAGACCGACTGAGGGTTGGTTAGACTAGCCAGCGATCTTGATCTCATCTGACGTGCAGTCTTTAAGAAACACCACTTCCTATTCATATACATAATCACATATTCAGATATTGAAAGCTTAATCGAAATATATTTTTATTTTAATGTTTTATTTTTGTTAATATGATACATTTTTATGTGGTTTTTAATAAAAATTAATATTTTTATTTTTGAATAAAGTATAAATTT